GGTAATCCAAAACTTCTATTATACTTATGTCTTATCAAGAAAAAGAAATAATCTACTCTTAATTAAAAGAAGTCAAAGCTCTAATATTCTAAGTGCATTCTTGTCAAAGTTTCAAGGACATGAACTAAAAGATGTACAAACTTTTGAAATCCATGTCAAAAGAAAAGTAAAAAAATAAAAAATAAAGAAGTATATATATTAAAAGAAAATTAGAATGGCTATTATCAAAAGATAAAGAAATTAGAGACTCTTGAATCTACACTAGAAGTAAGAAATAAATTAACAAGAGTGAAGAAGGCTTCAGTCTTGCTTCTATATATACTATCTACCTAAAATCTATATGACAATGTTTTATAGGACCTCCAAAAATATATTGAATTTGTATGACATGTATCTTGATTTACAAGATAAGTTTTTTATATGAATGCCACTTAATTAGCTTGTTTTATAAGCTATCAACACATGTGGCATGTGATTAGCTTATTGACCAATTTTCTAACCTATCAATCAACTACAAACACATGTAAAGTCAAAAAAAACATTTAAAAAGCTTCTAGGAAGCTTTTCTAAAAGATGTTATGAAATTAATCTACTTCTATCTATTTCTATCTATTCATATTACTTAGATAATAATTACAATAGATATACATCCGTGACATAACCATAGTAGAATGCAATACTTAGTGAAATTAGTTTTAAAATGCTTTGTTAATATACAATAATCTTCTTTGTATTAACTTCTATAGAATTGTGAAAGGTCATATATTTCAATGAAATGTACTCAGACTTGAGAGTGATTTATAAGACAATATGTAATAGTGGTATGAGCTTGGAAGATAATAATTTATTTTTTAAGACATTTCAATTTATACTAAACTTCATAGCATCTAAGCTTGTTGCCACAATAGCATATACTTATTTGACTACAATCATAATCTATGTTACAATAGCTATTATAGCTACTATAAGTTCTTTGCTTAAATCTTCAATGACCATGACATTGATAGCCATATATTTCAGGGTTGTAGAATTTGAATGTGTACATGGCTTTTTTAGTCATTTGACCTTGATGACCATAATCTTGATAGTTTTCATACATCTAATCAATGTGATATATATAGGTAGAGGAATCTTAGATAAACTAGTATTAAATTATTAGATAAAGATTCTCCAATTTTTAAACAATCTCTACAAAATTATATGCATAACTTTCATAGAATTTGTTTTAGCATTAATATAAGTTTAACAATCAAATCATTAATTTTTTTGATGTAGTCATCAATAAAAGTTTTTTAGCCATTCTAATATTTTGGAATTTTCAAAATTATTTGTTAATTTCACTAAGCTTGATGGAATAAGGAATAATATTATGTAAAGAATCTATTTAAAAATCTTATTCATGTGTGATGGAATCTAAGATGAGCTAACTCTTGAAACAACATCAATTGCCTTGGTTGCTATAAAATTAAAAAAAAATAATAATTGAGATTTAATTTAGAAATTTTTATTGTACATTAATCAAGTTTATATTTAATTTTTGACTATATATTTTTAAATAATATCAATGATAACTTTATAAATGTAAAGATAGATATAATAATAAAAATACTAATTTTATAATAATTATATTAGCATATACATCTTTTGTAAATTATATGAAAGTTTAAGTGAGATTTTTATGATTTTATGACTGTAAAGAAGATCCCAAAGATCAATTAAATTGCATGGAAAAATATATATATATATATATATATATATATATATCATGATTGTAACTTAACAAATCAAATTAAAAAAGATTGTAGTGGAGTAATAGACATTGGATAAAAGAGGGGAAAGGCAAAAGCAATGCCAATTTAGACCATACAATGGCAAAGAAGAGAAAAGGGTTATAAAAGTAAGCTTGTTTGAGCTATGACAGTAGCTATAGCAAAAGCTTAAAGATTGTTTTGACCAAGTTAATAACAAAAGTTTTACTACTATATTGGAGTACCTAGCAAAGTATAGTAAGTTTATGTGCAAGAAGGGCTACTACTACAAATTCATTGCTTTCAAGGATTTTAAGCAAAAAGATAAGAAATTTGATTATTTGAGTTTAGCATCTTCATCAACAAATGCAAATACCAGTAGAAGCAATTATTCTTATACTAAGAGTGGATTTGCATCTACAAATTGTGTAAGCATAGATAATAGTGGCAACATTGTCTCTGATACTTTTGTTTTATCTTTTAACTCTAACATTAATTGATGAAGAACAATAAATCTTAAATATGATACTGATAATAAATATTAGAAAGAATAATTAAGAAATAAAATTTTATTTATAACTCACTATTGACCAAATGCCACTTTATAATTGTACAATAAAGAAGAATGTTATTACAAAAAAATTTCAAGAACACACATAAGGACATACATAAGTATTTATTAGATAACATAAGTATTGATGAGTCAAAATATCCTTCATTTATTACTCAATCTTTATTTGGTATATGTGTCTAGGGCATTTACTTCTTTATCTATATCATGACAACATAAGAAAAATGATCCTCATACAAGTTTTTTTTATAGTATGACATTCAAGTCCCACTTAGATTGTAGCATATATAAGGAGCTCTTTTTCATACCCTTCACTTACTTCCAAAGACCAACCAATGCATTTGATGATTGGCAACATAATAATGACAACAATGTATTATCACAAAATAAAAGAAGATATAACAAAAGATACTTGTTTGTCAATACAAAAAAAAAAAAAAATTGTTGATTTTGGCTTCAATGTTGGTATTGACAGTAGTTATAAGCTTAATCAACAACAATTAGTTTAGTACTAGAGAATGAACAAAGAATTTTGTGATTTCAGTCTAAGACATGTAGAATTCATCAGATGAAAAATGATAAATAATATAATAAATTTTTGAATCCAATCTCCAGACAATAAACTAAATTTTATTTATAAAGAAATAAGACAAGTAATATACATGGCTTTGCTGCCATGATGATTAATTTAAGTTAGGTCTAGACTAGCTATAATATGAAGAAAAGCACCAAAGCCAAAACTTAAAAGACAGTCGAGATCCTTAGTTGAGATCCTAAATGTATAAAAAGATATCCAATAGATTGACTAATCTTGCAATAATGCTAAGTACTAATCTTAGTATACTCTGTACCTAGATAACTAGCATGGCCAAATATTTGTAGATTGAAAATAACAATTAATTTTCCAACAAAAATATTATAGAATTTTTTATCATACTATAATCATTTGTCAAAGTAAAGAGAGAATTAAGTTTATTCTATAAGACTTGTTTTTGGCAAGCTCTTACTCTTCCCTCTTTATCTCTTATTTTCTCTTTGTCCAAAAATCTTATAACATTATAAATATCCAAGATATTTTAAAAACACTTCTAGGTTTTTTCTTTTAGTGCATATTGTTTTGGAAGTAAAGTTTTTATCAAAAATTGGATTATTTTGGGATTTTTTTTAAATATGTGGATTTATTTAAATATATATGTTTCAAGAGATATTCCAAAGAATTCAAGAAAAATGCTTATGCTATAAGGATTAGAATTTTAGAAATTTATAAATAAATAAATTGATAAATGTTGAACACAAGTAGAAGACTCTCTATTTTTTTATTAACAATCCAAAATATAGATTAAATTTAAATATAAGCATGTGATGTTTTTGTTTACAAAGTTGAGTTAAAACTCTGTTGTAATCTTAAATGTACACAGCTTGTATATAATTAGTGCATTGCATTTTGCAGATAATCCAAGTCAAAACAAAATTTTAAAATCAAAAAATCAAAAATGGTACGAGGCATTAACAAGTACAACAGCTCCTGGTTTGTATTGGCTATCAGAATTCTAATGCACAGCTGGCATTCCTGAAGACAACGGACTGCCTCCATGGGAGCAATTGAAAAGTTCGAGGAATAATCATTTGATCAGCACTAGATCCTCTTGTCCCTGGCTTGAAGGATCTAGTCAGCAAACTAAGGGAAAGTGTTAATGGCCCTGTCACCAGCCCCATTACAACGCTGTAAGCTCAGCAGATACATACCTTTGTTGCCAGCATGCAACAATAATAAGAGGAGTTATGGTCTCTGCCTGCGATGCTCTTCCAGGAAAAGTTTCATATTACTGATCAAACCATCCACCATTGGAAGGGCCATCTAGGTCCACAATGATGGACCTAGTAGATTGGATGGCCTGGCTTATCATGAAATTACAAGATGCATGTTGTAAGATTTTCAAGTTGAGCGAAGACAAATGACCAAGACAAACCCATATTAACTGAGATGTGATAAAAACTCACCAAGAGTGACAGTGATCATCATTTGTGATCCTGGACGGGAATATGCATTCCAGGCTTGAAATCTGGTGGAGATAAGATCTGAAGAGCAGATAGTATGAAATTCATTAGTCCGAGTGTCGCTCAGTAAGAAGACTGCAAAACAATCAAACAACTCTATAATTGTCAGACTTCCTTCACATCAGCGGGATTCACAACCAGGCCTCGTAGCTCTGTTGAGAAACCTACTGCTGTGGAATCATGGTCTGTAAGGAGCCTTTTTCTGTCGCCTCTTCCTGCACGTTTCCAATACGTTCACAACTCTGGAACTAGGCCGCCTGCCAACCAACATAGATCAGGAACCAGTGAATCATTACTACGTTACATGTTGCTAACTTCTAAGTCAGAACGAGAACGAATTGTACGCGACAATACACAATCTATGTTCGTACTGATGTAGGATGAATAAGCTCCGTCAGAAGCTAAGACCTGAAAGGATTGTCCATATGATGCAAAACTTCATCAGGTATCTCTGTAAAACTACGTGCAAACATTGGGCTTCAGAATCTATGCAAGTCGAATTCGGAATGTAGGATTCATTTTGTTCGATTACATTACGTTACAAAGCAAGAAAATTCTCTTCACTAAGCTTGTATAATCTATCCTTCAGATTCTGGAGCACTCTTTTCCCCTTACAGCGCCTATTGAAGACAAAAAGATTTGTCCAGATTACGAGATTGAAATCACACTGGGCAGATTTTAAAATAGTAACAATAGTAAAAGTAAAAAGTCCAACATCTGCTGATTCTCTTTGTACAACAGCTCAATAATTGTAAAATACATTCGTGACTATAAAGCATCGACATCGTCTGCAAAGGGTAACGATTAAATCTAAACGTTCGCCACTACCCTACTTCCTCCAACTGAAGAGCAGCGGATTCTTTCAAAGTACTTTCATCCCCCAACTGAAGCACACTACTTTCCTTCATGCCACCCTTATCCTCCAAATAAAGCTCAGTTGATCCTTTCACCACATCTTCACCCTTCAAGTGAAGCACAGTAGATCCGTTCAACAAATGATCATCAGATATTGTCTTCTCTGGAGTAAGAATTGGTGCGGGTGGCATGGGCGACGTATTCAACCGCGTATCAAGCTCAAGATGGTTAGACGTCGAAATGTTGGTGCTTGCCGCTTCAAGATCGTCTGCCAAACGGAGGGCTTGTCTTTGCAGCAGCAGAACCAAAAACTTCTGAGCAGAGGTGCTTACTCCGGGAAGAAGGTCACGGAAAAATGGGAACCCATCTTGCACAACTTCAAATACGTCTGATCATTCAAACAGAAAATGAATGAAAGTGTGAGAACGTCAATCATCAAGACGACGCTTAAAGAACACCAAAACCTCATGTTCACGTTTCTAGCTTACTCATTAGTTGTTGCATTGCCCCAATCAAGAATAGCCCTCAGATCCATTTTTGACCTCTAACCCCAATCTATCAGCAGATTTCTATGCAATTACCGGGTAGACCTATGTAAATTACCTGATACTGAGTTTTGTTGTTGGAATTGAGGTTCCAATAATGCCCAGATTCTCCTCACTGTCTCCAGAGACTTCACATCTTCCTCTGTAAGTTTTGCAGTGGGGCTTGATCCTAACAACAAGCCCGGAAGCGGAAGTGGCCAAGAACCGGGTGCGAGAAGAGCTGCAGGAAGAGGAAACCGGATGGACATCGCAACAGATCTCCATAACTCTGCTAATGCCTGTCGAGACAAGGCATCCACTGCTCGCACAAGCTGCAAGACAGAAACAAACAATCGTTTCAAAGATATTATATGTGATATGCAGACCCCAAGAACGAAAAACCCAACAAACAATCATAAAAGCATAAAAGAAATTCATACCTCGGTAAGCAGAATATCCTGAACGAAGCTGCCTTCTGGTGAAAACAGCAGTAGCAAGGCATCCTTTGTCGCTGGGTCTATGGGTTCCAATTTTCGAGGACTTTCTCCACCAGAGGTAGGAACCATAAGCTCTCGAAAACTTTGAAAGCCAGAAATTATCTCCTCAACTCTTGTAGCATCAAGTTGTGATTTACCACCGTAGAGGAAGTACTGCAAAGCAGCACGAGTGCGAGGACTGGAAACAAAGCCCAAAAACCTTCATTAACATCGGTAAACTTGATATCCTTTCTCTTCCAGAAAATAGGTAAGAATGGTCTAAGCTGAAGGTAGATGTGATATGATTGGAATTTACCTATCATCGGTAAGCAATCGTTTGGATATGTAAGGGTAGCATTCATCGACAATAGTGTAATCGGGATCAGCATCCAATCCGATTCCTTCGAGTACGGAGAAAGCACGAAGAATAAGCGCGAAGTACGGTGGAATTACAAACACGTAGTCTTTAGACATGTTTGCAAGGTCGTCCGTAATCTAGTCAATACAAAAGTATCAGTTCAAGAGAGCATGTAATAATAAGCAAATCACTGATCCGGTAGCTTCCTGAGAAGGCTAACGAGAAGAAGTTCTTATTATGGAAAATCAGGGATCAAGCTAAAACCTGTTGAATGTTCACTTTCCGAGCTCCCCCTCCTCTAGTGAGTTGTCCCAATACGCGACTGAGTTGAGGCACTACTGCTTTAGTCTTCTCAGGGTCAACAAACTCCGGAGGAACAAAGCCCAGCCTCACCAAATCCTCGGCAACACGGGCATAATCTGAATTCACTATATGAGAAATATACTCAATCAGAGTGTAACGCTGATCTTCTGTCACCTGCTAGTTACCACATATTGAAATCAATGACAAAGCATACGTGGCCAATTGCGGACGAATTTTTTCTACAAAAAACCTATCATAAACCGCGATGGACCAAAGGTACTGCATAACGCTGTAAATATCCTTCGTTATCTACGTACAACCAGAACTGAATTAGAACAAGGAAAAAGTAAGGGAGAGAATGGAGGCACCTCCGTCATAAGTCCAAAATCCAATACACAAAGACGGCCGTCAGGGGTGCGGAGCAAGTTCCCCGGATGAGGATCTGCATGAAGAAAACCAGACTCCAAAAGCTGCATTAAGTAACAGTTTAAAGCTGTGCTGATGAGTGGTAACAAATCTGCTGCTCTTGTTTCGGACAACTTCTCTCCCTCAACCCATACGCTGGTTAGAACCTGTACACAGGCTTCAGATGTCAAGCATAAACAAACTCCACCATCTTACCACGACATACAACGGAACAACTCTATAGTAAACAGAACCAAGCTCAAAGCTATGAACGAGCAGTTACAGAAACTCTTACCTTGCGAGAAGTGTAATCAAGATATACACCTGGTACAGTAACATTCGGTAATAATTTCATGTCTTCAGAGAACCGAATGGCATTTCTGGCCTGCACTCCAAAACTAAAATTGTCATCATCAATTCTATCACCACACAACCTTCAAGCCCTCAGAAGCGTTACAGAATCGAAAGTAGATGATTTAGGTCTTAAATTTCTGTATTATATATGATAATTCACGAAATACTGCTTCTAGTTGACAACCAGACAATCAAGTTAAAATAAAATAAAATTGTTGATATTGATGAGCATTCACTATTAACAGTTGCATCAAGACTTCTAAATGCTTCTCGTGAACGAAAAACATTACTGAAATAAGCTAATAACGAATAGTCAGCACAGTGATGAGCTGTAGAAAATAAATTCTGCTCTACAGCTTTATGACTTGCTGAAGAGAAATTTAAAGTTCTATTAGTAGGGTCATTTCGATAGTATATTCTGCATCTATTGACTGGAAGGTGAACCAAGTTCAGGGAAATCAGTGTTGTGTTACCTCTTGCACATAATCCAGCTCGTCAAAGAAGCGGATAGCCCACGTGTCAATAAGAGCCACCAAATCTGAGTTGACTGAAGGAATAGCTTGAAGCGCTCGTGCTCCTTGTCTCAACAGAAACAAATCTCTTGAGATGCCTTCAAGGACTCCTGGTCTTTGCACCTTAACGGCAACAATGTTTCCCGTTTCTCGAAGCCGTCCCTTGTAGACTTGTCCTAAAGATGCCGCTGCAATAGGCTCCACTGATAGTTCTGAGAAGATGTCCTCCACTGGCTTACCCAAACCTTCTAAAATCAGACGCTTAGCTTCTTCGTTTGAAAACGGTGGGACACGATCTTGAAGCTTTTGTAGTTCTTCTAAGTACACAACTGGTAATATGTCTGGCCTGATACTCAAAGCTTGTCCTATCTGCGCTGCAGGTAACAGTAATTGAATAAAAGATGTATAGACGGCAAGCATGATCCTAGGAAGTTGTGGTGCTACAAACCAATGAGCATAGTTAATAATGCTACCAGTAGTACAATACAATGACATGGCCTAGAGCGATCTCAATTAGATGTAAATTTGGACCTATTTTAGTTATTCAAAGATGGCAGGCCTGTCATCAACAAGGTGCGAAAGATACTGGAAACAAGTACGTGTAATTTCCAGTCGTCTAAATTCCAGATTATGACATCTGCTGCTGTGACTCACATCGTTGTTTTAATTCAAAAATGTGATATCCGGTTGCATCGAAGAGCGAGCCCACAGCAGTAAAAATACGTAAGACTTTATTACGTCAGCCCAGAGTATTTCAGAACGCACCTTGATAGCTGTAGGACCAAGTCTTGCAATGAGCGCAACCATCTGAGTAGCTCTCAGCCGTTCCAGTTCTTGATCCCGTCCGACATACTTATCAAAGAGGATGTTCACAACTAGTGAGGAACAAGAAAATAGGATTCGAACTGACCGCAGAATGATATCTACCGGTCGCTTTTGGAAATAAGCACCAATTTTTTCTGCGTCATATCTCAATGGCAGATCCTGGCCTTCAACAAAGCCTTTCGAACTACTTCTCGTACTGAGCTCTGCCAATTTGAAGGACGACAAAACCGCACCAGATGTGACTAAAGTAGCCAGGAGGGCACTCGTAGCCAGTGAGGATGAATCCATAACCCCGGTTAACAACGATGATGAGCTCGAGTATTCAAGAACAGAATTTCCAAGTTGAGTAAGCACCTGCTCTATAGGAGCGGAGACAGAGGACATATCAAGATGAGTACGATGAGTACCGTCACTCGGTAACTGAGTAATCTTCGTTCCCAACTCGGAAGCCAATATTTTCGCATTGTGTAGCACGTTAACTAATGATGCTTCAACATGCTGAAGACTGGAAATCTTGCCACTGTCATTAGATATCGAAGAGCTTAGCATGGCAGAGTTAAACCCTGAAGAATTTTCTTCGAGAAGAGCAGATAGCGATTGGCTTGCAATATCAACGCTTTCCTGCAAGGATTTTAACCCCGAACTCAAATTCAACGTTCTGGCAATTTCGTTGGTCTGAGCTTGAAAGCTCTTCAAATCGGCTGGAAGAGCGGACAACGCAGCGGTCGACAAGTCTACGGACTTCTGTGCAACCAACGACGCCGATTGACTCACTTTTCCAAAAGCATCCTGTAGCGATTCCAAGTTCTTCAAGTTCGCGGTTGTAGAGGTCTGACTTTGTATATTCGTTATCAATGAGGTGGAAATTTCAGTTGCTTTTCCAACTAATGTGGCTACGGATTGGTTGAGCGATTTTATGTTTTTTAGAATGTCCTCTGGACCGTTGTATGAACCAACATACGTTCCAAGGTCTTTCAGCGACTGGCCCAACTGTTCTGCCGCTTGTGTGGCTGAGTTCGCATCGTTAAGGTTACTTGCAGCAACAGGACTACCTAACTTGGCATTATTACTGACCCCGTAAGGAATACGTGGCAAGTTAATCTTGCCAGATAAGAATCCGCTACTTGATAACTTGATCTTCTTCAGCTTTATCCTTCTCGACGACCTACCCTGCCCCCCAAGTCTTCCTAGAACGTGATGTTCACATCGTACTGCTGAGCCCCTTGCAAGATGCGTACTCATCGCACTCTTATTAAAAGTGAATACGTTCGAATTAAATAACAGTCTTGATATTCGACCCGAGGCAACCGTAGTTGGAGGAGCTGACATTGAAAACCGGAATTGACATCCTAGCGCATTCGACATTGCAGCACATATACTGCTAAGCTTCTGAAACATTGACAGCAAATAATATTGTCAGGAATTGGAAATTGATAATCTTAGTACATGTTGTGTCATGCGTCACCATTCTTAGACTAGAAACCTCAGAATAGAGCTCATGTGTGATGCGACTTAATGGTCAACATACAAGGTACAAAGCTGCTAGTTTAGACATCAGCTTCCAAACTAACGCTCGTTTATAACCGTTAAGCTCGATCATACAAATCTAATCATTTCCTTGTCTCTTTTTGAAATTGAAGCTCTACAATAGTCTTGCAGGTCATATCATTCTGTAATTTAAATTAAAGTAGTAAAAGTAGGACTATGCAAACAAAAAAGATTAAATTCTCAGCAAAAAATGTACTCATATTTTAAAATCTCGTGGTTAGCCTCTTTATCAAGTAAATTACGCCTCATATGGCATCCAACATCCCTCGTACAACGGTACTGCCAACAGAATCCTACAGCAAACCTCATCAACAACACATTACTAACACGAACATCAAAAGCTACCGCATGTGATTATATTCAACAAGTCGGGCGGGGAATCAGATCAACCATAACAATAACAACAACAAAAAAAATAAAAATAAAAATAAAAATCCAAAATCCAGTTCCAAATAACAATTCCCCCGTATCCTCACGAATCAAAATTGTCCGAGCCACTGCAACGCTTTACGCTTCACCATCCGTTCTTCAGGCTCACTCCACGCCGCTATTCACACACAACCTCCAAGCACTCTCCCCACGCCACGCCACGCCACGCCACGCCACCTCTCCCTCCTGATCACCAGTTCCCTACCAAACAATGCCGAGCCTCCTCGCAAGCACAAAACGCTGCTCTAATGACGAATTCAAACGCCGTGGTGGCACGCGCGACTCAACGGGCTTCCAGGCATGAGAAAACTCACACAAGCCGAGGCGAAGCCGGGAGCGCACGATAAAGCGCAAGCGAGCGAGAGACTGAAACAAGCAAGCAAGCAAGCAATTGGAGGCCGGGGAGGCAGCAATGGCGTTGACGTGGCAGAGCAGGAGACAGCGGAGGTGAGTGTGGACACGAGCGGAGCAGAGGGGAGGCGGAAGGCAAAGAGTGGTGGGAGACGAATCGCGACATTGAGATGGAAGGGGCGATGGCAGGGGACGGAGCTGCAACGTTCGGCAAACAAGAGGCCACGGCACTCTCAGGCCAAAGAAAAGCCCAAATCCCTTCCCCTCGAGCACCGCTGTGCCATCATCGCCTCTCCCTCTCTCCCTTTCCCTTCCCCCAGCCAGGCGGGCTCTTTGGTTGGTCCTTTCCTTTCCCTCGCCCGCCCTTCTCCCGGGAACCTCCCGGCCTTACCCATGTGTTTCAAGTTTGTTTGACCACAGCGTCGCTGTCCTCGCCTCGTGCCCGCTTCTCGCGGTTTTGCATGCACCCCCTATAGCTGCCGTTTAGGGCTAGGATTGATGGCATGATTTTAGGTGCCGATGGAAGCTCGGCTCTTGCTCTTTGTGATAGATGTTAATGCAAATTGAACTCTGGTGTTTGGTGTGTGCGAATAGTATCTGGATGTAGAGATATCCAAAGTTGAAACACATTTTCTTTATTCTTCTGTTTGGTATTGTAAAATCTAGATTTTTATTTTGCTGGAAACATTGTTACTGTGTTTACAATGTACATAATTTGAAAAATCACTATAAAAATACATATGAAATAATAATAAAAAAAAAAAAATCTTCTGTGTATTTATGTGTGTATATATATATGTATATATATATACTTATCTTTTATGTATATACTTAAAAAAAGTAAAATAAATAGTGATTAAAAGTATTAGTTTATCTATAATTATTTGAAATATATATATATATATATATATATATATATTAAATATCACAACATAAGACACCTTAACCTCTAAATTAAAACATGATTTTTTATACTATGTAAATGCTACATCAAAATTAATTAATTAAAAAATAAAGAAATGAAATTTAATCTAAGTCATAGTATTTGAAAAACATTGTCTACTATAATTGTATCATTTATGTAAAGTTAATATGGATCTTCATGAAAATAAAAAAAAAATAATTATTACAAAAAGTATACAATAATATATATATATATACATATATTTTTGGATATTACAAATCTCACCACTATTTTTACTATAGTTATTTCAACCTTCCATTCACCACATACCACCCACACCTTTTGTTAATGCTAAATAAAAAAGTATAATTTTTTAAATTATATATTTATATATTTAAATACAATATTTTTTTAAAGAATAAAATTTAATTCTAAATATTTTATTTAATAAATATCATATTTTATTAAAATTTTAATTATTTTAATAAAATAAAAATTATTTTTAACATTATATTGTATGTTAATATAGACATTTAAAATATCAATATGAATTTTTATTAGAATAAAAATAAAATAAAAAATATTAAGTAGGTGGTAAGTCATTGTGTTTTAAAAAGCTTTCTAACACAATATTATTAATTTGATCTACCTTTTTTTACTTCTACATAATTTTATTTATTTCTACTTATTTAAATAAATATAATAATAAATATAGATGTCCTTGATATTATCCTCTTTTTTGTCAAAGATAAAAAGTCAAATAATATAAATAAAGAAACCAATATGTACATAAAAAAGAGATAATAAAAAATAAAAAATAAATATTTATATTTAAAGAAAAACTAGAATAGCTATTGCCAAAGGCAAGAAGACTAAAGACTCTTGAAATTAGATTGAAAGCAAGAAAGATGTTCATAAGAGTGAATGTCTTACTATAGCCTCTATATATATTATCAAAGTAAAGAGCTATATGGCAACTTCTTATATATTGCATATTATATGTCCAACTTGCAAGATATATATCTGCCTTGTAGAATAAGTTTCCAACATGTATGAAATGTGGCTATAATATATATATATATATATATATATATATATATATAGAACTCTTAAGTGTCAAGTTTAGAAGCTTACTTCAAGTATAAGATAGTAATGAGGCTTTTCAGCTTGTTTCAATATTGAATACCACTAAGAGACTTTGGATCTAGGAGATAGATATATTTTCTAATATAGAAGACAATCTTCACCATATGGTGAAAGACTTGTTCTCAAAAAGAGTTGATGGTGTTTCTTTATTCAATTGGAAGCTTAGATTTCAAATATGGATGAAAAAAAACATCAAAAGACTCTTATTTTCAATAAGTGATATGGCTTTAATCTATTACCTATTAACGACATGAATCTCAAAGAAAGAAATCCTTAATATACTCTTGTGTCATTTAAAAGAACTAGAAAGTCACTCAAAGATGATATGATATTAAACTAGAATAACTATTGCCAAAGACAAGAAGACTAAAAAGTCATGAAACAAGACTTAAGACTAGAAAGACATTGATAAGAGTGAAGAAGACTTTACTCTTGCCTCTATGTAAACTCTTAATTAGAAACTACATGGTGATGACTTATAAGACCTCTAAAACATATTGACTTTGCAAGACACATATTTTAACTTACTAGACAAGTTTTCTATATGTATGCTACAAAATTAACTTGTTCAGTAAGCTATCAACAAGTGGTTAACTTGTTGACTAAGTTTCTAACCTATCAATCAATTACAAATATATGTAAAGTCAAAGGAGTATCTATGAAGCTTTTAAGAAGCTTTTTTAGAAGATATTATGAAATTAATTTATCTTTATCTATTTTTATCTACTTTTATGTAATTATATAGGTATTTACTAGAATACGTATGCATGTCCATGACATTACCTTCCCTTCTAGGAATGAATTCCACAAGGAGTAGTCATCATGTGTTGATAAAATTTTAAGATGTAGTGAATTATATTTGCTACATACTTTAATCTTTGTTCTTTTTAAAGATAGTTGATAGGTCTTCTTAGCCATTGATAATATTTCATACTAAGGCAAAAAAACCACTTTGTTATTTGATCATTGTTAATGCATTCGTAAGTTCTTTCAAATAAAGTATTTGAAATACCATCAAGAGTTGTTTCTACCTCAAATAAAATCACCAAATATTGAGAGTCTTTTCCAAAGTTGTGATATCAAACACATTGTTGTATTATATGTTGTCTTGTTTGGAAATGCACCAGGCATCTAGCTATGAAAGGTGAGATTATGTTTTATAAGTACCCAAGAATTTTAATATTTTTCACCCTTATAAGAAAAATTCAATTCGAATTTTAATTCAAAAGTACTTAAATCTAATATAAAGTACTCAAAAACACTCTTCTTAATAATCTCAACTATACATAAACTCCAATTATCTTATTACTTTTATAATTAGATAATTTCGAATTTTCTTTGCAAACCTTAACCCTAATCAACAAGTTTTAGCAAGCTATAGCTCCTAATCTAACCATCCACTTAGAGCAAAATTTTCCAAACAAATGCCACTATAAGTCTTCTATGAGCTTAAAAAAATTTATTCTAATCCAACTTAAAGATTAAAGAAAAATACCCAATAACCGCACTACTGTTACTTGGCTGCCAAATTAAAAGTTGATATAGATATTCTATTAGTGATTTCTCCTTCTCCAATTATTAACTTCAACTCAAAATTGGTACTTAGCTTAATCTTTAAGTCTTCTAATACCATGCCAAATTTTACCTTGATCCAACTTATAGATCTTGAGATATCATAGAAATCCTACTCAATCCCAAACTCCCAACTTCAGATACCTTCTTCTACCAAAACCTAGATATCTTTCAATTACACCATTAAATTTTTATAAATTTTCACATACACTAAGCATACCTAATTAATCAAGCATTTCCAAATTTTGAATGATAGATGTGATACTAATTTTACGAACTAATCAAAAGTGCTAACTCAAATTGTATTGTATAAATTCCAAGTTGCCAATACAAACCTTGATTTTGAATAACAATTTCTAGGTCCAAACAAATCCTACAAAAACAAGCCTTAAGTCTTGAAAACAAGCTCTAAGCTAGTTCTTGAATCCTAATCTTCGATCTTCAAATGAAATCCTATTTTTTCCTAGATAGTTGTTTTAATTGCCAAAGGTCTAATTTGGACCCTGTTTCACAAACAGTCGACCCTCAAGTATCAATCTACCCTATTCTAGGAATTTTTCAGCCCAATCCTACCTTCAACTTAATCTTAATATCAATAATACTAATTATTTACTTCTTATAATCTGATTTTATTAATTTATGGTCTTTCTAAGGTAGTAAAAGAGTCTCTACATTCTAGAAGGTAAAATGACTAACCAACTGTCAATCTAATAACTATTAAGACAAGAAAATAAACTAAAAGGCTTTTATAAAAGCTATGTTTAAATAACTTGAATTATTATTGAATCAAGATATTTAAATATTTAATTAAAATTTTAATTTTAATTATATTTTAATATATAGTTGTATTACATGACAACAACGTTGTATCTCGCTATCTATTTTAAAAAAGACATATTATTCTTGACGATCTTCATCTCAATTATGTCATCTTGAAGGTTCTAACAATTGAAATGTCTTATTCAATAAGTTAGCAAGTAAAAGCTCTCGAATTGAATCTATTGATTGTTGGTTCTCCATCTTCTTAGTGTTACAAATACATAAAAGCTACAAACAAGAATAGAAAGTAGAATGATATCTTCTTTGGATCTTATTCCTTTTATAGCAAAGATTTGCTATTCATCATCTTGGTTTTGATAAATGTTATCAATAAAAAGCCTCTATTCTCTTTGATTCACTTGAAAGATTCTCTACTAGCTCCTATGTGTGTTTATTAATATCATATATGTACCAATGAATAAGATATTCCAATCTATTTCAATGCTGTCGTAATACGTGAAGTCTTGCTTGAGAATGCTTTGAGTACTTGGCTATGGAAGGTAGAATAGAAATTGCAACAACAAAATCCTAACTCTAATAGAATACTAACTAAACTCTAATTAAACCATAATAATACTGAACAAGCTTTAATCAAATTCAAAGTAACCTCAAAAAAATTTCAAAGACACAATAAGAAATCTTAAAGAAATATCAGAATGATCACAAATATATCTCAAATACATCTCAATTCATTATTAATTTAATCCTATTTAAAATCCTATTGCACTTCATTGAAACTTTTGGCCAAAACTAATTAAATCCTAAATCCTAAACCAAATCCTAATCAAATCCTAAATCAAATCCTAACCAAATCCTAAACCAAATC